CATGTTATAAACATTGTATTATTAGATTCATTGTGATGTTGGCTTTCATTGAAGTTTCAATTGTTATACTACTTGATGTTTTGGAAACTTAAACAAGTATAGTAGTTCTAAATATTATGAAATGACAGAAACATTAGGCCAAACAAATTACTTGTGTTTCTACTATCAGAAAAAAATAGGGTAGGTATGTATTAGCTAGGCATTTTATTGTTAATTTGAAAAATATCTTTACTGCGCTAATATAGAGCAGGAGTTCTGACTTTAACAGTGCATATAAAAACTTAAGGGTATTGTAGAACACAAATCTGAGATAAGTCTGGTTAACCACACTGGTGTCGAACACACCAATAAGTATAGTGTGTATAATATATCATAGTTTATACACATCATATTACTATTAGTGTGTCCAGTATCTGTGGGGTTAGCATAAACTCAATATTTGTTTTAAACTTTTAATTGGCCTTATATAATGATCATTTATAGGTCAGACAGGGTTTGGTTTCCAATTCGGAAACTAGACCTGTTAAAACAGTTATCATTTGTAATTTAGAGATTAAATATTTCTAAGCAGAAAAAAATGAACTATAAATATTTTTCAACCTTTTCTGAGTTGTACAATTTTAGAGTATCTTCTGTCTGAAATCTGAACATAACTTGTTTTATGATAAATGTGTAAAACAATTCCTCATACTGGGGTAAAGTTTTTCTATATATAGTCCCAAAAACTACAGATAAAATCCTTGAGCACGTACAAGATACAAAAATATATATTTTACGTCCATTTTGCAAAACATACAACATAAGCTACAAAGACAAAACATGAGTATAATAACAGAGACCAAAATATTACAACATGGAAAAATAAAATAAAAACATGTATGTACATGTAGTATACTGTAAGCTCAGAAAAAGAGTTTATCACTTGGAAAGCACTTAATAGGCACATTGAACACGGTAAGCACATCAGCACATGGTAATTTAAGCACATTTAGAACATTTGCATACAGCACATAAAAAACAAAACCATAACATGGAAAGCTTATTAGCACATAGTAGGCACATTTGCACATTGTAAGCAAAATAAAGGAGTGCAATGGACATCTCCATGTTTCCTGGTTAATTTCTTCTTTATGGAAACAACCAGGGGAGAGTGATGTTCTGCTTCATCTTTTGTATTAATGAAAACCGTGAATATCTAAGTGCGTGTGTTTAAACTAATTTTGTTTTGTTTTTACTGGTACCTTTTTATGTACACATGTTTTACCACCTAAGGAATTAGATGTCTTAAGCCCCCATATGATGTGCTGTTATAAGTTGAATTTAATGTACATTTTGTTTATATTTAGTTCTGCTACCAAAGAGATTGACTTATTGAAATGTTTTTGAAACATTTTAATGAACTCCTCAGCTTTAATGCCTTATTTCTCACTATACAAGCTCATATTGCTATGCCTCCTATTTGTTTGAATATCATCTCTAAACATTATTGCTGGTGCAGAAATTATATGGTAACTATGTTCTATTTTAGGGGGGGAAAGCAATCAATATTACAACAGACAGGGATGGTTATTGATGGGAGAAAGGAGGATGAGAAATAGGAACTGTACCAACTCTCTCATACCTTTGAGGACTTCATGAACTTTTTCAAAAGGCTGCAAGAACTATACCAACAGTGACATGACATTTTGAAATCTGTCAGTTACTTTATAGAGGAGGAACCTCTGACTAAATCATTTTCTCTCAGACACATGAAAGCCGAGTCCACAGATCCTTCCATCAGCGAATAGTTCAAATGTAGTTCAAATGCTTTCCTCGCAAACTTTTCCTTAATGGAGAAGTCAGTGATCTTTACTTGGAACAGATTGAATCTGTGAATATTGATGCTGAAAGCCTGATGAATGTGATTGAACAGCCCCTACTTGATGCTGAAACCCTGATGAATGTGATTGAACACCCACTACTGACTAAGGGCACAAATGTTGGAAACAACGTTTGTTTTGATCAATATAACACTATGGGTGGTGGGAGCAAATTGGAAAAAAAATTAAAAGTATGTTTTTAAAGATAGAAATACTGGTCATGGCTTCCTTTTAGTTTTTGTCCAATGAATTAAAAGTCAACGCAAATGTTAAGTAGTAAAAGAAATGTAAGATCCCTGGTATACATTGTACTTTTAACAATGCTTATGATCAATATCAATAAAATAAAATAAAAGTTATAATATGTAACTTGATATTTGTTAACTTCGCTCGATTTTACTGTGTCCAACATTTGATATTAAATCTTGTGTGATATATGAGAGGGATAGCACACAAGATTGTATCAATGTCAATGAAAGCAATTATTTCTTAAGTTTTCAACCATATTTCTTGAAACTTCATTTCTAAATTTCATACATCAATTGTTCAAGACAGTTTTAAGGTCAATTTCATTCAGTCAAGGTGAAGGCTACAGCTTCACAACCTGTTCATGTACATGTGACAGAGAAATTGTCAGTGCATTCCTAACTAAGTATTCAAACCAAATTTTATAAACCTTGATCCATCATTCTCAACATTAAATCATGCACTACCTGTTTGCATATACACAAGCAACCTCAACTTTCAATAAGTCCTGTTGTCAACATTTGTTGCACAATGCTATCAGTTCTGAAACCAACAATCATGACAACTGTAATAACATAGTATGTGTTCTAGCTGGTACATTTGCAGTACTCTTTTGAAATGTATTTGAAATTAATATGTGCATCTTATTTCAAATGCTAGCCTATGAAGATGATAAAGCTGAACATATGCTATAAAGTTGTTGTTTTCTTTGTGAAGAATTTATGCAATGGAAATAGAGGGAAAATAATGTAACTCTCCTAATCTTGTGTGTGTGTGTGAGTATGTATGTTTATATTTTGTTTATCTTATTCAATATTGAAACATACAACAATGTATCATATTGAATTAGAGTGCTTTTTATATTATTTGTTCATGGGAACACAGATTCAAAATAGTTCCATTTTTCATAAGAAGAGACCTTTTCACTGCAGTGAATATGTAAAACACTTTATTTAAAAGTTTTTCAAAATTATTGAGAGACTTGTAAATTTATGGGTAGCAGTAATCCACTTGCTTATCCACAATTTAGTTTCGGCAAGTAAACATCCTTATAAATATTGTTCTGTAACAATATACACTGACTGATGCAAAATTGAAACTTGAACAAAATTCACACGTATTAAAAAGCATGCCAACCCTGGTCGATGTGCACACTTTACAAGATAACTTGCTTGAATATATATTGATCAATATACAAACTTAGACGATAAGTTCAAAGTTGAGTGAAATCCATGCCTAATTAATTAGCATACTGTACTCTGATTGGTCAATGGTTTTATGCCAAGTAACTTTGTTAGATAAGGCAAGGGTTGATATCTTATTCAACAACAAAGGCAAAGTTCAAAGATGTTCACAATCTGTGCATAATCTATTCAATGGTTTAAAATAATCAGGTATTGGTCAAAGGGGTAAATGCCAGTTTCAGTTTTTAATGTTCTATGAAATACATTGTATGGACAAAGGGAAGCAATTCCAAATTCCTATGCAAATTAATTATCCAAAGGTTTAAAATGATATATTCTAGAGGAAACTTGGTACCACTCTTCTGACAAACCTATAAAGATATACTGTACACACAAGAAGAATAACTTCACAGTGGTACACTTTTACATAAAACTTTGATTCATAACAAATTAACAGTAAATCCTTCTGTACAATATGATGGGAACTTCGTCTTTATTTTGTTCTCCATTCCAAAAATAATATATATATCTTTTGCCTTAGCTTTCAGTACTTTCAGTACTTTGATTATTACCTGGTTATCGCCTCTGATAAACTGGTCAGTCTTCAGAGTATGAAGTTATTATTACCCGGTCATTGTCTCTGATACACTGGCTAGTCTTCAGAGTATGAAATTATTATTACCTGGTCACCGCCTCTGATACACTGGTCAGTCTTCAGAGTATGAAGTTATTATACCCTAGTCACTGCCTCTGATACACTGGTCAGTCTTCAGAGTATGAAGTTATTATTACCTGGTTAACGCCTCTGATACTCTGGTCAGTATCAGAGTATGAAGTTATTATTACATAGTTAACGCCTCTGATACACTGGCAGTCTTCAGAGTATGAAGTTATTATTACATGGTCACTGTCTCTGATACACTGGTCAGTATCAGAGTATGAAGTTATTATTACCTGGTCACTGTCTCTGATACACTGGTCAGTCTTCAGAGTATGAAGTTATTATTACCTCGTTACTGCCTCTGATACACTGTCCGATCATCAGAGTAAAAAGCCTCCTGAGGAAAACCTTCTTTCGTTTTCATTTCTCGTTACATAGGCTAAGGTTTATTTATAACCAGATTGGGAATTCTAGTTTCGCTTTATATAACTGAGTGGCATACATGGTTTTATGTTATTAACATAACATGTCAAGTAAATAGTTTAATAGATATAATCATTATGTCTCCGTTAATAAATGGAATGTGGACGTATTTATATTCACCATAGGCATGCCCTTTAAATTTCATTTCGATAATAGAAAAGGATAAATATCCCTTTTTAGTATTTTACATTTTGACATTCCTTTTCCAGTTTAGTATTCCATATATCACATATCGAAGTGTACGTGAGTATCACTTGTACTGCATACAGACTCAATGGATATCTATTTTATAACATCGTAAAACAGATTTAAGTTGGTTTTTATTATCAATCCAATTATAAATAGTTAAATCATGACCTGTCTTCAATTACGATACTAGGATATCTACTTTCGTTTTCAACAATGCCATATTTAAAGTCATATTTATATTTCTCATAGATAAGGATAAATATCCCTTTTTAGCATTTTGAAATTTGACATTCCTTTTCTATCTTAGTATTCCATATATCATATCGTAGTGTCCGTGCGTATCACGTGTACTGTATACAGACTCAATATCACGCATTGTATAAAGGGATATTGCTATTTGAATGACTTGTAACACTACTAATTATCCTACGCATGTGTCTAGTTCCAATGCACGCGTATCTATTTTATAACATCGTAAATCAGATTTAAGTTGGATTTTATTATCAATCAAATTATAAATAGTTAAATCATGACCTGTCTTCAATTACGATACTAGGATAATGCATTATCATCATACCGTCAAATCATATTTATATTTCTTATATTCTTCTTACGACTTATTCACGAGTATCGCTGGCATCTTTTAGAATGAGATAACACATTTATAAAAAATTAAACGCTTTATTATCGTAATAATAATAAATATGAGATCATAAGACTCTTTTATGTTATTCATGTTAAGGAAATTGGATACAGCAACAAATTTAAAGCGATTGGGATTTTAATAAACAAATCACAAAAATGATTGAAAATAATTAACATAAAATCAAACATTAACAAAAAGTCTCTAAGATAAATGACACATATCTTTTCGATGGTGATGTTGTGTTTTTCATTAACTAATTAGGTAAATGTATTATTTAGACGTAAAACAAAACAGTGTGAGTAGTGGAGTCGGTAAATCAAAATTTATTTTTTGTTAATCTTGTTTCTTCTTTACAATAACTATGCATATCAAAAAGACATATTTCAAACGTCTGCACTACAGTCTTGTAACTTATAAACACTTGCATTAGTAAACACTATATAAACCGTGTCCATGGCCTTATCAGTGTTGAGACTTGATATATAAGTACCTGTAGGACGGCATGTCTTGTATGTACCGTGTCGATTCATGTACAGTGTGTAGTTGTTTATGAATGAACTCATCCAACCGTATCACACTACATGTTTGTAACCTTAAAACTGTCCATACTACGAAGCATATTAACTAATACACTATCCCCTCTATTTTGTAACACGTTCAGAACTCATTTTAATTTAACGAGTCCGAATACATAGGTTGAATACATGTAAACTCCAGGCAGTCGAAAAGTAAAGAATACAAATATAAAGATATGGTACAATACTCCACTAGACTATATTGTATGACACTGTAGAGGTATTGAAACTAGCAATCAAAGTAATAAAGACTGTTATTCTGGACGGACATATGTCGCATACACGTCAGAGGTATTCATGAGAAAAGTTACTAAATATAAATAATAATGATTTCAATAATACAATATGAACAGAAATGTTGTTGATCTTATGGCTGTCATACTCATTTAACTTAAATAAACCCCGTTAAAATGTTTGACGTTTGTTCACATCACTGAGTGGTTGAATACAGTATGTATTTATACATAGACTTGTTTACTGTTTGTGAGTCTGGAGATTACCCGTAGAAAGGAGTTTGACGAGGTTCTGCTGACCAAAGGTGAAAAGTTGTCTAACGTAGTTTTAAGCTTTATGAGGGAAAAACTAACAACATTGCACTACAATAAATTTACGTTACCCATTGACAAGTTGTATAAAATCAAGTTACAAAGTGTACATAAATATATGCTTAAGCTATAGCATTTGGGTAAGATAATTCCATTTCACCGTTAGCCCCTAGAAGGCACGCCATTCATTTACACAACATGGAACCTTCCTGCCACAGGAAGCTTATTATTAAAAGCTACAGTAGTGTTACCCGATGACTTTAAGGGTTGGAACTACAACTTTGAGGTAGACTATGTCAATATTTAAATCTTCTACTATTAACATGTTTAACAGTTATTGTGTCTATCATGTTAACGTTATATCTGTTTGAACTAACACCAAGCTGTAGCGGATCCATTTTCTCGAAAAACGGAACATAATTGCACTCTTGATTGCTCCAATGGTTCCTCTTTGCCAACGAAACAGTTTTCTAATGTCATTCCTCAAAACAATGATCTTTATTTTCATTAATTTCATTTTTGAGGATACCTGTTTTGGGAATATATGCATAATATTTCCAACTATATAAACCCTATTCCAATATCTGGATTGTGAAAGTATGGGCACATAACATTTGTAGTCATTACCAATATGCAAAACTTTGTCAATTGGTGTTCTTATCACCATAGTTCTCATAAAAGGGAAGATATCTTCCAGCTCAATCTTTGACCTGGGAGTTGGGGGAAGCGGCAAAGGGCCATTTCTTTATTTAATATCCCTTTCCTAAGATATCAGTGTATGGACTAAAATAATTGATGCCCGCTTTTCTGTCACATACACAAGGTTTTTTTCCAAGTAAGTTGATAAAACATTGTAGAAAGAAAACAATATAATGACGGTTAAGTCTTACCTTTGCTTGACATCGCCAAACTCTAGTGTTTCCAAGTATGTTAAAGTTATTTACTCCTGTTTCCTTTATTTGGCTCCGATGCTCGGTCATTTGGAGAGACGGGCAAAGACTTCATGCATATTATATTAAATTTACCTGACCAAAGGATGCGCATGCAATTTTTTTAATCAAAGTCTTTTTCAGACGTTTAAACTTTAATGGGAAAGATGGCGATGGACGAACAACGGACGCTACGCACTTTATACCCGCTGAGAGAGCTAACATTTGTTGTTAACATCATCAAACATATGATAACATATTACACATGTATAACATGGAACTGATATCAAATGTAAATATTTTTTATTTCCTTTTAACAAAATATAACTGTAGAATAATGAGCACAACCTTATCTCTCTGGTTGTTAAACAGAATACATAGTTTATATATCCCCAAGATTAAAATAGCCATATTGCATAGATACAGATTATGGAAAAAGGCAAGAATAATCAATATAAATCAATTTCCTAATCCAGTCACCCTGCACGTATACTTAAAACTCATAAAAATTGACACGATATGAATGAATGAATAAAAATGAGATACCGGTATGAATTAAACCCTCTGCTGTTTAACTTATTATCTGTACTAAATTGAGTAAAGGCAAGGAAAATATGCAACATCGTCATTACACAAGGATAAAAAACATTACACCACACAAGAACAAAAACAAAAAACAATCGTTTACACACAAATTAACTTTAACCACAGCTTCAACACACAAGGACAACATACACCACAAGGATTAAATATGTCAAACCGTCAGTACGAGAGAATACATAGACATTGTCTAACACACGAGGACAACGTGCAACACGGCGTCAAAGCACACTAAAACATACACTAGAATGTTAACACACCAGACCAAAATACAGCACAAGGTTAACAGACAAGAACAACATGCACCAGAGTGTTAACACTCAAAGAAAACATACAGCAGCGTAAGGCACAAAGACATAATACAACAGTGTTAATACACAAGGACAAAATACAGCACAAGGTAAACACACAAGGACAACATGCACCAAAGTTTTAACACACAAAGACAAATACAGCAGTGTTAACACACAAGGACACAATACAGTAGTGTTTACATACACAGACAAAATACAGCAGTGATAACACATAAAGAAAAATAACGCAGTGATAACACACAAACACAAAATACAGCAGTGATAACACATAAAGACAAAAAATCGCAGTGATAACACACCAAGACAAAAAAAAGCAGTGATAACACATAAATACAAAATATCGCAGTGATAACACACACAGACAAAATAAAGCAGTGTCAAAATAAAAGGACAAATACAGAAATTTCAACAAGCAACGACGTAATACAGCAGGCAGTGTTCAGACACAAAGACAAAATAAAGCAGTGTTGACACACAAAGACAAAATAAAGCAGTGTCAACATACAAGGACAAAATACAGAAATTTCAACAAGCAACGACGTAATACAGCAGGCAGTGTTCAGACACAAAGACAAAATAAGGCAGTGTTGACATAGACAGACAAAATACAGCAGTGATAACATATAAAGACAAAATAAAGCAGTAATAACACAAAAAGACAAAATACAGCAGTATAAACATACACAGACAAAACACACCAGTGATAACAAATAAAGACAAAATACAGCAGTGATCACACACCAAGACAATATACAGCAGTGATCACACACAAAGACAATATACACAATGTTAAAACACATAGACAATATACAGCAGTGATCACACACAAAGACAACATACACAATGTTAAAACATATAGACAATATACAGCAGTGATCACAAACAAAGACAAAATACAGCAGTGATCACACACAAAGACAATATACGGCAGTGATAACACACAAAGTTAATATACAGCAGTGATCACACAAAAAGACAATTCACCCAATGTTAACACACAAAGACAATATACAGCAGTGTTAACACACAAAGACAAAATACAGCGGTGATAATATACAGTTGTGTGACCGCACCACGCCCCTAAAATATCGTGCGCACACCGTGCATACATCGTTCACACACCGTCCGCACATCGTCCACACATGGTGCGCACAACTGTTCGATTTAACAATCGTTCGCCCCGTTGTGCGCTACTCTCCGCACAACTGTGCGATTTGGTACAATTTGTTGATCAATATTACAGAATGGATAACATACGGAATGCTCGTATGCAATAATGTACACCGTATATATTACTGTAATTATCTCATCACTATAATTTAGATTATGTACATTTTACAACGCGTGTAACACAGTATACAGTGACCGTTAGATTGTCAAGAATGAGTTTGGCTTCTCGGTAACAGAACAGGTATATAACAATTTGATTAGTGACCGGAGTTTTACCTTGCCTTTGCCTGGCACATAGAGCTGATATGTGATACCGTATGACCTTTATAAAAACACAACTGGACGTTTAATATTTGTTATTTGCATTCGTTTTGGTCTATAGCCCCGGATCCCGCCTGATTTTCACACCTTGGCGAGTTACGAAAATGCCCTGGGCGGGAGAAAACTACGGTCCATGTACAAAGTGGATATGTTTACCTGTGTTGCCGAGATTGTGTTGTAATTTTATATGTGTCGATTAAGGTCGTTTAAAAAACACCATTTCTAAATTTAAGAAAGTATAGACAGAAAGATAAGCTTATAGATGTAGCTTGAATATAGGAACATACTAAAATGTTTATATGTTTAAACTCGAAACCGTATATATTGTTAAGCCATTCCTCAATTTACAACAACCACGATTGCTATCGCACAACGTTCGTCGATCGTCCACAGAAATGTGCGCAAGCAAGGATCGTCCAATTTTTTATCGTTCGCACTTCGTGCACACATCGTTCACACACCGTGCACAAATCGTGAGCACACCACACATCGTGTAACGTTGTGCGATACCACAACTGTACAAGGACAAAACACAGTAGTGTTAACACACAAGTACAAAATTCAGCAGTGATCGCAAACAAAGACAAAATACAGTAGTGATAACACACAAAGACAATATACAGCAGTGTTAACACACAAAGACAAAATACAGCAGTGATAACACACACAGACAAAATACAGCAGTGATCACACATAAAGACAATATACAGCAGTGATCGCACACAAAGACAATTTACAGCAGTGTTAACACACAAAGACAATATACAGCAGTGATAACATGCAAAGACAAAATACAGTTTTGATAACACTTAAAGACAAAATACAGCGGTAATAACATACAAGGACAATATACAGCAGTGTTTACTCACAAAGACATAATACAGCAGTGATAACACAAAAAAGACAAAATACAGCAGTGATAACTTACACGGACAAATTGGCACAACGTCAACCTACAAGGACAACAGTGTCTACATACAATGATAACATTCACCACGGCATCAGCGCAATAGGAGAAACTTCGCCACAGCGTAAAATCATGAGGCAAATTCGATAGCAAAGCCCGTTATGAGTAACAGTAACAGCCATCAAAACGACAATAAAACTACAGGAAACACGCAGAATGAAGCTAATGTTGAATTATATCAATTATACAGAATTACATTTTACAGAATTTACAAAAGTAGAGATGTAAATATGAACAATTGTCTCAGAATAAATCTTTAATACATATCTCATCTCATTTATATGTATAATCATCAATACTTAACAATTGTATTGACTGTTTACTTGCATTTTATTCCTTCATGGTACATGGACATGTGTTATACAAAAAGGGATTTATTGAGTGGTTCCCAGTTGGACACATACATGAACATAACTGATAATAACTAAATATGATTAATAAAGCTACAAACGTCTAGAGATCTAGAGAACAGAAACAAAAGATGAGCATTCTTCCCCTCACCAAACATCTTTTGAATTTATCTGTATGTAAAATATACACATAGTTCAATATATATTACAGATAACGTACAAGCTAAGAAGTGCGTATCTAATACATTTTCAAAAGTCTTTGCATACTGTCCAATGTATGCGATATTGTGAAATGATAGTGTCGGGTGAAAAAATTGAAATGAAACGGTTAAAGTATCTGCATAAATTTCAATATAACATGTATGATAAAGTGCATATTCATTTGATAAAAAGTTATTTCTTATATAAACAAAATTTAATTACGTCATGATAAATTACCCAAACGAGTTATTATCATTAATCATTAAGGCACCCTGACGGATGTTTCCTCTGAACCTACTTGACGCTAACTAAACTTAGCATAAGTATATATACGCTTATGAAGATGTTTAAAACGCATTTCTTTTCAATCGAATATTAAACATGGCCGCCACAGCATCGGATTGTTCGAACTTCAAATGCTGTTCCATTTTGCCCAAATATGGTATGAAGTTGTAGTAGACATCGGTAATTCTTTCAGGAGCATCAATTGTTACTACGGGACACTTAAGGGAACTTTTATAAGCACCCCGGTACATTTATAATTGGTTTGTGTTTACCTCTGTGTACTCAGTATCTATATAAGCTGAAAGTTATTCGCTTGTTCTACTTATGGTAACGTTTATACTGTTTTGGTAATGAACAAATTGATAAAGAGGTATTCAATTATATATCAGTTTTGCAGGTGTTGTATCTTACCTTTTCTCACAGTGAACCTGGACCCGTACTATCATACTCTAACGATATGTCATATATTCTATATCTATCATTATATAACAGTGAACGTGAACCCGTAAAACACACACATGATTTATAAAACAGCTGTCAATAGAATAAAATGTATCAAAATACTATATTACATAATCTCGGAATATAGCAAAGAATAGCATAAACATTGAATGTACTAGTATTGTGTAAACCCTTTTTCAAACTTAAACGGCACATAAGCTAAGAAAAAACATTTATCTCAAATCAAATCCAGGATTTTTTTAATGTTCACAATAGGATATATTTCGTTAACACTGAAGCTATTTTGTCAAAAGTATTGCTGTTTACGTCACACTCGTACAGACCACTGTCGCTGCAGAAGGCGATGTCGAGGATTCCACCAAGCTGTCGTAACTCACTTCCGGTCACTCTATGATTTGTGGGGGTTAGTGATGACAGGTTGTTCTTACTGGTATGATGGAGTACGAGAACAAATACATCCCTTTCACCTGCAGATATAAGCGTGTTGTTCATACATACGTTAGTCATAACCAGCATGTCTTTCCCAGTGATTATGGGATTCCTACATTTAAGTTATAACGGGAAAAATACATTTCAGGATGGTTTCGGAGCTCAAAGTGGATAAAATAACATGAATAAAAAACGATTAACCATCAATGCAAAGAGAAAGGCATTATTAAACTCTACAGAAAGGCGTTTACTAATTTTTGTTATCAAACAATTTCTTGAATTACAGTTGAACAAAAATTTTAAATTGTACATGTGTACTCGACCTTTTATCCCCTTCACCGAGTCCAGAATATTGGTGCCAACTCTGGACATGTTCAGACAGAGAACGATTTGGAGCCAACTTGTCACTTCAGATGGCGTTTGGGAGAACTGTATTGTCAAGTTGATGTTGTTCCGATCCAGTCGGTCCTGTACGCCTTTCGTCAGTTCTGTGACTACCATATCAACTAAAGACTTGCCTACTCCACTTCGATTGCAATGAAGGCCAATTACTGTAAATATTTCGAATAAAAAAATAGTTCATAGACAGTTGAAAGGCATTACGTCATAAACAACGCACCTTTTAAAACGTGTTTGGAACATAAACAGCATGATACAAATATAGATACATGAACATGTATCATAAAAGCCACATGGTACGCGTTAGATTAAAAAACTATCAACTTTACGCATAATTAAGAAGTTATTCCACTAGATTACCGAGTGTCTTTTTTCTTGGTTGTTGCATTTCCTCCAGTTGCCCACGTAAAGTCTTCAGCTCTTTGTCCTGCACATCTGAAATTGATATGGAATCTGGTTATACATGCTTATGCTCTAATGAGCTCCAAGTACCTATACCTCAACTGAAATGTATATGATTCTAGAAAATTACTCAGTAATGATTTCAACGAAGATTTAAATAAAATAAAAAAAGTTCCAAATCTTTCTTGAGTACGAGGTTGTTGTGGAGATGAAAATGTGTTCAGCTTACTTAGATCGTTAAGCAGTTGTTGTATTTCCTGACGATAATCGTCAAGCTGTTTCTCCTGTCTCTGACGTTCCTCAGCCTTCTTTTCTATGGAGTAAAAGTAATTTACATGGCATATGAAAACTCTTGTGTAATGTTATGAGAACTTACAAATATGCGATAACACAATTCAGATATATATATGTACCAATAATGTGCCTTTAATCCCCAGTTCATTTAGATTCACAAATCATCATGTCATAAAGCAAACGCCATGAGTTCTACACAATTTTACAGACTGTACACCGCTAACCTTACATATGTGACTTACGTAGATCAGCGATTATATTCGTATTTTCATTTTGTATTTTGTCCATTCGTGAATGTACACGTGCGAGCTCAATGTCCTTTTCCTGTAAAGTTGCCTCCGTTTGCCCCTCCTTGCCTAGCATGCTCTGAATGTCGGAGTGTAGTTTTGCATTTTCTTCCTTTACAATATCTAGCTCCTCTATCCTTGCGTCTGTTAATGACAATGTAAACGCACATTACTATTTTCGTAGACTGTTTGTACGCTAGCTGATTGCTTTAACATATAAATATTCGAAAGTGTACAATATATTAGTTAAGTCAGAAGTATGGAACGATTATGTCTAAAGTCTGAAGTATGAAATTATTATGGCTAAATCAGAGGTTTCAAACTATTGTGTCTAAGAGTCAGAGGTTCGAAACGACAATCTCTAATGTCAGAGGTATTTCAAATGTCAGAAAAATCTGCTACATCCATTATCATATTTCTGATCTTTATATATCTCTCTACTTCTTAATATCTTTTATTTTTAGCGCCTTGCTTGACAGTGCTGAAATATCATGACTAAAGTCAGAGTTTTAAAACTCTTAATAATATCTAGAGTGAGAGGGTTAACACTCATATGTCTAGAGTAAGGGGATGGAAACACTTTATGTCTAGAATCAGTAGTTTGAAACTATTATGTCAATTACATTATTCACCAGTTGAATAACAAATATTTGACTGCACTTTTTATTGATCTATTTTCACAGAGATTTGTAATGACACAACGTGCTTGACTATCGTATACCTAATACTGCACTACTATGTTAATCTATAGGCGAACTGTACATGTAATCACAAAGAACGAAAGCGGTTAATCAACCGTCTGTTTTGTTCATGTGTTTGTCTAGATTCAATATAATCATATAATCCATCGTGGTCAATTCTGTAACATTGTCTTTTGTTATTTCGTCGATATGATAGAGAGTATGCTAACGTATGGTCTTACGTAGATCCGTGATCTGTTTCATCTTTTCATGGTAGGATTGGTCCTTTTGTGAAAGTGCACGTGAGAGCTCTTTGTTCCTTTCCTGTAATGTTTTCTCCTTGTGTTCGTTCTCCTGTAGCCTTCTTCGAAAGTTACAGCGAAGTTTTTCGTGTTCCATCCGTTCGGCGTTCAGCTGCTCATCTTTCGACGGACCTGTCGTTTTGATTATATATAATAGATTTATCAAAATACAATTGAATGCATCAAATCATTAAATCGTTGACGGTTTACCAAAATGTTTAATTTTAACAGGCATCTAGGTATTGTTATCAGCACAGTGCAATAAACCACGTAATATATCACATTCCTGCAAAGATGAGGTTTCGTACAAGTCAAATATCATTTCATAAACTCCGAAGAATATGTTGTTCCGAAATCATGTTAAATGTACGAATTATATATAAAAGCGTTGATAAAGTATTTTTGACGTGATCCCCATCATCGCAACCCAGTTATTTTTCACATTTCGTTCTACTCAATTTATATAATCTATATCTATGTCTATACATATGAAGTATTCAACATTACACCCACCGAAGAAAAACCATGATTTTGATTTCTTCTCTGTCTCGCATGGTTCTGTCTTTGTCGACTTTCCTTGTAGATAAGGATGACTAAGCTTTGTCTGTGTCGAGTTTCCTTGTGAATTACATGTAGGTTTACTAAGTTCTGTCTGTGTCGACTTTCCTTGTGGATTAGGATGACTAAGTTCAATGATTCTTTTGTCTAGTGTTTTAATTTCGTCTTCAAGGCTTTTTATTCGCTGCCTATCCCTTGTCCGGTCTGTTTCAATATTTTCAATGGTCCGGTTCTTTGTCCCAATACTTATTTCATAGCTATCAATAGTCTTCTGAAGCTCACCAATCTTCCTCTCATGTTGATCTATTAACTGTTGTTCCCGCCGTTTTGCATCACTTGTCTCTCTCTTTAGATTATCCAGCTCCCTAAGTAGTTCCTCTACATTCCTTTCGTGCTGAGCACTCAACTTAGATATCGTTTGTTCGTGCCATTCCTCCGTTGTACAGTACTCTTCGTCATCCGCACCTCCTTTGTTTAACTTTTCCTTTTTAATAAGAAGAATTTCCAAATCTTTGATGACATTCTGACATTCAATCGGAAGTCGTTTGACCGTTTTTGGATCCTTTTTCGTTGTAATTGATCCTTGAGGTGGATATATTTTATTCAACAGTTTGCTTTTGCAATCTTGGCATAAGGTTTGGTTTAGCGTTCCTACACCTTCATTTATCACCTGAGGCACAGTTTGTAATTTCTTCACCTCTTCTTCTACAACTTGCATTTGTTTTCGTGCTTGAAATGATATATCCTGAAACATAACATGAATATACGAGTATTTGTATCCCAAACTAGTGACATGTTTGAATAATAGTATTCATAATGAAAGTAAGGTTATCGTTTACCAGGGAGGTAAATAACAAATGTGTTGCGGTTGAATATTTTGTTGACATCACTGAACCATTTTGCTATGTCATACAATAAAACCTAAAGGTGCTGCGATTGGTCAAAACCGTGGGAACATATTCCTAGGCAACTCCAGGTACTACTTTTATTTACTTTACAACAAAATACATAACTGGTATTCTAAATGATTTGAAACCTTATTTTGTCGTTATCATTTTCAATGAATGTAAAACTGTGCATTATTCAAAAAAGAAAAAAATCTGGAACTACTTTGAACTTCCCAGAACGCCAATACTATGATCGGAGTACTTCGTATTTTCAAATTATGAATGTTATATACTCGTGTTCATGCGATTTCAAGTTATGGACACCTATGTAAGACCCTCTATTTATAATTACTAGACATTCGACGAGGGAAACACTTATTTAAAAAAAATAGACAGTGGACGCAGAAAAACAAAGAACAAAGTAAAGTTTTGCATTTCATATGACAGTTCGTCCTTTTAGAACTCGTCAGTTGCACTAAATCTAAAATAAATAATGACAATCCATTTGTTCACTGTTCCGAAACATATGAACAGTACATGAGGCTACATTTTAAACAAATACTTTATAGTGTACTTTACAATGAATGGATACAAAAGGAAATAAGTCTTTTTATGTAGGTTGAGATAAACGAAATTAGCTACAATTTGAAGTTACTGTCAACTTCGGGGATTGGTGGCCCACAGGTAGATTATCCGCCTTGTGAGGTACAGCAGTAAATACCAATAAGACAAAGGAATCAGCTATTTGAAAATTAGAATGTCAATGCAAAAAACTAAAGGAGGAAAAAAAATGTTTAACCCTATTGCAACTTGGAAGTCATAAATAACTTTCCAAAATAATTCTTGTATTTAGTAAAATGTATCCAAAAAAACTTAAATATAAAAAAGTCTGTTTTAACAATTTAAAATATTTTCTGACTGAATGTACATATGTAAATAAAAAAAGGTGAAAGTAGATTGAGTTGTCAGTGAATTAACAGATGACACGAGGATAATACCATTGTTTTAAAGTTGGATAATCACTTCGATTAACGTTATGATAACATATCATTGTAATAGTATAGACTGGTACAAATTAAACACGTGTGAGTGATTCACCTATGTGATTAGTTACAAAGAACCAAAAACAGCAAGAATTTCAATGAGATTCATTTAAGATAATCATCAGTTTTACTGCGATTGATATATTGCAGGAAATAATACTCATACATTGAGTATTTAACAATTCATAACAACTTTTAATGCAGAGACAATACAGATACGATTTCTTTAGAAAAATATTGTCAGATTCATGTCAGGAATAATGGAAAGGTTAGCTTCCTTTATCAGTGGAATTTTCAATACAGTCATGCCAATTTCTAAACCATACAAATGTGTTTACGGAATAAATAGCACCTTTGTCTCGACTCAGTTCAACAAAGTCTAAAGGTATCTGTGTTAGTTACACACTGATTAAAAAGGCATTATGGATGAGCATTTGTTTTCTTTGTTTTTTGTCGTTGTTATTTCTCAACATCTTTATACATTGTACATTGTTTTGATCGATGAAAGAATAAAAACGAATGTTACACATAAAAAATGACGGCAGGCAAATAATACATTAATAATTTTTAATGCATGTATGTATGTATGTATGTATGTATGCATGTATGTGTGTGTGTGTGTGTGTGTGTGTGTGTGTGTGTGTGTGTGTGTGTGTGTATGTGTATGTATAATAAATAAAAATTGTCCTGTTGTATTTGAAAAGCGAAACAATCTTATAGACTAAATACGTCACTATATTTGCTATCTTAGTTCTTAAAATTGATTTTAGAATAAATACTCCAAAGATAATTCCTTATCTCAACAGTAATACATTGTTTTGGCTCAATTACATTATTATGGAATTTTGAAGCCTGAAAGTCCATATGTACCTAACATTAACTTCTATAAATATGCGCCAAAATAGTTCAGTTTTGTACAAAATGGAATATAATGGTAGAACACATCTAGTATGAACTACAAATTTTAACATATATGATACAGCTATCTTTACAAACTTTAACGTACATACCTGTACCATAATAACTAGGACGTAATACTTGTACCATAGCAATTAGGACGTACATACCTATACCATAACAACTAGGACATACATATATGTACCATAACAACTAGGACGTACATACCTGTACCAGAAGAGACGCGTCCTTCTTGTAAAACGTTGACCAAAATAACTGCTCCAAACCCATGCTTGATGTTGTACGATGAAGACTGTTATGTAAAAAGATATTACATAATGGCCCCATTGCAAGAGTAAATCAAATATAACCAAATTTGATAATAATGCTTTAATATATAACAGCAATGTGAACATAAATACCGATTTGTTTCTTTACAAAGACAAGTCGGCCTAATAGCCGCACTGACGGTTTTTTTTAAAGAGCACTTCGAATGACAATAATCGCTGTAACTCCTGACTACCCGATACCTAAACTGAGTATAACGTCAAGTTAAAACTTTGGTGTGGTAACATACGGTTCAGTACTGTATTGTTCAGCTACTTTAATACAGCCTATAATATTTACCATTTCGGTTATAATAATTTGTGAACTGCTTTGAGACGACCTACGAACTAGGTGGTGATAAAGCGGTATATAAGAGCCTCGAATTAATATCATTATTAAGTTGTAACGTGCTGGCTACTATTAAAATCTACAAATGACCTGTCAATCTGTAATAAACATGTCTGTCTTACCTTGATTATATATTCTTTCCTTTCAATGCTTAGGTTTTTACTTTCGTTTTCACTTATGCTTTATGTTGTAAACGTCATTTCCGCTTTGTGTCATATGTAGTTCGTCACAAGGTATTCACACACATACACAAATGTTATGGGCGGCGTTCTAGATATTATAATCGTAAAATCAAATATGTAACATGTTAGGTATAAAATTACTGACAGCGTTAAGAATATTGAGAACTAAAAAACGGAAGGCCTGACCCTTAGTAGAAAAAGAAACAGTCAACCCCATCCAATCTTACATATGTGCAATGAAGAAATATCAGAGGTACTGTTGCATAAACATCTTGCAGTTCTTTTTTGAATAATTGCAGTTGGGTTGAACATGTTAAACAAATAATCAAATAAAAGAAAGCAACGTCTAGATTCAATACTATGCTATTTCTAAAAATTAAACTCGACAGGCAAACATTACAAAATATATATTTTTCGTTTATTAGACCTCTTGTAGAATATGCTGATACGGTCTGGGATAGCATTCCCAAAGAATATATTTCCAAACTAGAGAATGGTAATTTGGAAGCTGTTAGGATTGTTTCCGGTGCTACTAAACTTGTAAGCTTAGACAAACTATATACAGAAGTTGGATGGAATAAATTAATAGACCGTAGACTCCATCATAAATTGTTATAATTCCATTAAATGTTTTATTAAAATACTCCAGAGTATCTGTATAATCTCTTACCTAATTCAGTTAGTGATGTTCCTAGTTATAATACCAGACTGTTTGACCCATCATGTCTGACACCTTTTCTTTGTAAAACAAATATTTATCTAAATGCATTTCTTCCATCTGCTGTAAACAATTGGAATTCTCTTCCATTACATATTAGAAATAACCCTTCCATTTCCCATTTAAGAGCCTTTCTAAAATCTAATAGTAAAGCATGTCCACCTTCATACTACTTGCAGGGTTCACGTCTGGGTCAAATCTATTACGCAAGACTGCGTATGTCATGTAGCTCCCTAAAAGAACAGTTGTTTACGAAAAACATCATACCATCCCCGAATTGTTCCTGCGGTGTCATTGAGAACTCAACACATTATTTGGTAAAATGTAATAAATATACAGCACTTAGACAGCTTCATATTCTGAGTTTGCCGTATCAAATATCTACTAATCTTTTACTCTTTGGTGATGACTCTCTAACCCATCAAGAAAGCACTACCATTTGTCTAGCCTACCAAAATATTAAACTTGAAACTAAAAGATTTCAAATAAACGAATAGTCCTTTAATAATTTCATTTTGATATATGTATTTATATATGTTGTGTTGCATTCGTTTTACTACTATGTTTAAAAATGTATTTGGGTTTATGTGCTTATTCCGTGATTTTGCCATTGCATTTCTATATACCACATTATGTCACTAACTGGCCATGATTATGATAGTTTGATAAAGTGATGTGTTACCTTGAAAGAGCAGGACGTGCCAGGGACGAGGCTAGTATGTGAACTGCAACGTTTTTTAATAATCATGGCGGTGGTTTGTGACATACTCATTTTGTCAATAGTTGATTTAGTGGTGATTTATGCTATGTAACTTGTATATACATTTTAACCTTTATCGAGTGTCCAATTACAGCATTGCTGAAATTTCCATCTACTATTGCATTGTTATATTTTAAAGAATCGTGTTCCACATACTCATTGTAATATAGCAATATGATATTACCATCTGATGATCATATACATATTGATATGTTATTCATTCCTGGTTTCCACTGCATACCAATCCATTACCCCCTCTCCTATTCCCGTAATTGTTCTGTTGTACATACTACATTATTCTTGGAGCTAGTGTTGAAAAGTTGATTATTAAGCAGGTAACAAATGTACATAAGTGTCACGACACTTGTTTTTGTTTCCTTTTCTGTTCTATAAAACATGTACATCGATGTATTGTCAAACAAAATTTGAATAAAACAAAGTTTAAACCAAGAAATAACGAGCGTCAGTTGGTAAATAATGAAATTGTTACTTATCAGCGCCAAACATAATATAGGACTAGCTCATGTGAATTCGTGAGGAAAGAAACAAATAGACCCAAAGGATTACTTATTTGTAGTTAGAAACCCCAAGGCCAATACATTTACTGCTTTAATGACGTGATTTTAAAAGATAACATTGATACAATATTATTTTTATTTATTTTAAACCAAATGTCATTTTATAATTTCATTTGTTCTTATTCGCACAAGACCAAATGAATGGTGGCTGGTCACGATCCTCTGATCATTGATTTGTAGGGCTTTTGTTGGGTATGTGTCTCCTTAACTACTTAATAAAAAAATCGCTGGCGTCCTTATATTCTACCAGTTTTATCGATGTTGAGTGATTTGGTTATTTCAAACCTTAAAATGTTGATTATTCGCTTTAAAGTTGGCCTTGACTGATAATATATGTACGATGAGGGAGACATAACTCATGTAGCGTATTCATTTTCATGCGGCTGTAAGTCCTATACGATATTTAATGACAATTTATGAGATATGAAGAAATGCGTGAGTTCATCAGGTACGTTATCAACAATATGAGGAAGTTATACTAAAGGTGAAAACGATGACTTTGAATATGAAATTTTTTACTGACCTGTTAACTACGGTAGAATTTTGAAAAGAAATAACTAGCAAATACTAATGCAACGAAATATCTTCATGTGTGTAACAATACACAAAAGAAAGAAACTGGTTTAGCAATGTCTTTGATTCTAATTATCGGGGTGATACAAGTCAAACCCACTTTCGTTTTCGGTTCTCAAGTAAACTGCCCTAAGTGACGTGGATCTATTTATAACAATGTTGGAAATTCTACTTTCAATTTACCAAGGTGAGAGACAGGGCAAATCGGAACTGAACAGGTTTTCAGACAGAAACTTTAATATAAGACAGGTTAGTACATTATGTCAGTACAAATGGAAAAAACATTGAATATGACAGTAAATCTATAAATTTACAATTTACCGATCATATTATTTGACAATTTCTATCGAAAATCGTATCATCATTCAGAAAACATTTTCTTTGAAAAACTTTGTGGTATCGTCAACAAATAGAATATATGTCAACAAATTGCTAAATGTGTTTTACAAAGTATATTAAATAGTACTTTGTTTTGGTTCCTCGATGTCTTCTTGAGAGATAGGTACTTTCGTTTCATATTTGGTTTACATACAAACGTATAAGCAGATATATACTTTGATCAAACAATTGCATTATCTTACAAAAGTGATATACATGAAAAACAACGATGATTAAATGGAGAAGGGTTAATTGAGGTAATGCTAACAACGGTAATAGAGCATACCGCACAAACTGACAGGTTCATTAATGTTATTTATAACGTCATTGGAAATTCTACTTTCAATTTACTAAGTCGAGAGACTGGGCAAAATCAGAACCTAGCAGTTATCATTTACGGCCACATTTATCATAGACAGGTAAGTAATTAATGCAATTGGACGACGAGAAAACTGAATTACACAATGTACCGATCATAACATTGACCACTTCTACCGAAATGCGCACTGTCGTTTTTAGATTTTTTCTTATGAAATATGTTTTTATGTCGTTATTAAATAGTATATTGTTATTGCGTTATTAAATGATTATGGCAAGGTACTTTTAATGGTCCACTGTCTTTCCCCCATTGATAATTTAAAAAAAATATTACTTTCGTTTTACATATATTTTACCTACGGACATCAAATAATGACACCATTATTTTATATCTCATTCGAAATAGAAAAATGAAAATAAAGCAAGATTATCACATTGTGATGGGGTGAAAGGGTCAAGAAAAGCCTATTAATGTAATTGAACCTACTGTATATTTCAAAGATATCATTAACTCATTATTTACAACGTCACTGCAAGGTCTACTTTCAATTCACCAGGGCTAGAGGCAGAGCAAGATCAGAACCTAACAGGTGTTACTTAAAATCATTTATCAGACAGGTGAGTAATTAATGCCATTCGAATTCAAGAAAAGTTCAAATTAATGAAAGTACATTTATCAACTGACTGCATCTATTAAAATTTCCACCATCATTTACAAAGCTTTCGCACGTGAAATACTTTATAATATCGTTAACAAATAGCATATTGTCAACGCGTTGCTAAATATTTGTTCGTTTCCTTTATATCTTCTTCAAACTTTTCGATTTACATTAATTTTACTTATCGCAATATCACATATATCAACAATGAAACCAGTATATTGTTTTGACAGTAATGTTTAATGTTTTTGAATTGAAGCAGATATCAAAACGTGGAAAACAGTTATATGTTAGTGGGTACAGGGAGATTGGAAATCTATCATGGGGGATAAAGGTTAATTATGTAATAAAGCAAACTCTAAATAACTGATAGATGCTTTGAAGCAGTTAAACAAAATCAGTTTATTCACCAAATAAATGTTGTGGAGTATCAGCAAGCTTTCATAATTGTTTTATATAATGTTGAAATGTACATTTTCGGTTTATCAGCAATATTTCTCTGTATCCAAGCACGCGGATTTCAGCTTAAATATGTGACTTTTTATTCAAAACCTTGTCTAGATTATCTATCAGTTTGTTCAATGTCAAGTGACGTTCCGTACGATACATACTTTTACTTTCGTTTTCTGAAGTTAAATAGTAAAAGGAAATAAAACTGGTAATTCCTAAAATATTCTTCCGCTATAAGCATATGTTAGCTACTAGATCGCGTATAACCATATTGGTGTGTATAGTTGTAAGATGAGCCTTTATCAATGACAACCGAGGAGGACCACTACTGAGTACTTCTATAGACATTAATACATGTAAACTAAAGAGGGAATATGTAAGTTTACTTAAGTATGATGTCAGTTTGTTTGCATTTATATCCATGATGTTTAAAAATAAAATTTATGCAGAAAAGATATCTTCGTTAGAGGCATAATATAACACAAGCTACGAACACAATTTCCATTTAAACCCCAGCGGTGTTTTGACTGGTATGTAAATCGCGCGGGTACACCTTGTCGTGTGTGTATTGTGTGGGTGTTTTTAAGAATGATTATACAGGTAGTTCACTAGATGAGAAGGCGGAGTTATGTGAACTCTGTCTGGATCGTCCCGGGAACCCTCTAATGATACATAAGGTTCAGATTTTGTACCTTATTATGTCTCTGTAATACATGTGATAACGTTCTACGTGCAGTTATATTGTTTTAGATTTTGAACCAAATAATGTCTCTGTTATGCCTCTGATAACTTCCTACATGCAATATCAATGTTATAGGTTTTGTTCCTTATTATTCCTCTGTAATGCCTCTGATAACGTTCTATGTGCAATATTATTGTTTTAGATTTTGTACCTAAATCTTTCTCTGTAATGCCTCTGATAACGTTCTACGTGCAATATTATTGTTTTAAATTTTGTACCTGAAATATTTTGCTGTTATTCTTCTAATAACGTAGTACGTGCAGTATTATTGATTGAGATATTGTACCTAAATCTTTCTCTGTAATATTTCTGAAAACGGTCTTCGATGCAATATTTTTATATATCACTTAAAAGTCACATTAAAGAGTTGATTTCCCTTTTTCTTTTCCTTTTAAGTTTTTATTTCAAAGAAACATTAATTTTGTTCTTTAAATACTTAACAATTCTTAAATTCTTTATAATTTCAGTGGCTTATCCATTTGAAAAAAATGGCAGTACTGACAAAGAGGGAAAAGCAGACACTCCAAAACCTGATTGGTAGCGGTGAAAAGTCGTTTACCAAGTTGTACAGTGCCAAGGATAACGGATGTGACGCGGCTATCTTCCACGAAATGTGTGACAACAGGGGGCCGACCTTGACCTTAGTATATAACACAGCAGGAGAAGTTTACGGGGGTTTTACTTCTGCCAGTTGGCAGTCTATCACCAAACAACCAGTTTACGACAAGAATGCGTTCCTCTGTTTGTTACGCAAAGAAGGAAACACAGAGGCAATTAAATTCTCCATAAACCTTCCGCCGTCAGCTTTACTTTTAGACCAACAAAGTGGGCCAACGTTTGGTAGTGGTCCAGACCTCCAGGTGTTTACCGGAAAAATCACACCGGATACAGATGGCACGTTCGCCCTAAACTCCAGCACGGTACCGATCAGTTACGCCAATATGCCAAAGTCCCTTGCTGATGAGGTCACAAGTGATGCAAAGGCCACTGACGTGGTTGTTTATGGTGTCGAGGGTAAGAAGTCAGGACTAAAGCTCATTTTAAATCAACAAATAAAAAAATAGCAAGAATTATAAAACCAATTCTATCTACGTATATTAAGCATTCTTGTTGGCTAGGATTGAAGCGCACAAAGGGTGATGGGGTAGGAAACCGGAGTGTTCAATTAAAGTTTACTTGTTCAAGCAGGTGGCTCGATACGTTTCCATGTCAGACCGTGTAATCAAACCCTGGCCGAAATCGGATTTAATGGTAAATACTGACATATGCCCTTTTTTGATTCCATAGATGGTTCTCAGTCTTTAATGGAGTTACAGTGGAGATCAGAACCCAAATTTGACAAAGAGGTAAGCGAAATATGTTTGTCTAATTAGTGGATATCTTTCTTAAGTGGCTCATATGAAAGTCTTGATAACGTATTAAGTTCAATCGTCTTGGAAGAATGAAGGTATGTATCCTACTTTTTAAACATTTTACAACATTATTTCCAGTATCTAAGAGACTTGATGGAGGAGGTTGAAAGCTATTGGCCTCTTAAAGAGATGGGTGTATCCGACGATGCTCTGCAAAACGTTAATATTCTCCTCATCGGACCAATTGGGGCCGGCAAATCAAGTTTTCTCAACTCGGTAGAATCAGCTTTCCGTGGTCACGTGACAATGTCTGCTAGTGCCGGTAGCCGAACAAAAAGTGTGACTTCAGCAGTAAGTTAAAAATAGGAAGTCTATATCCATCAATACGTAGTACAAATAAACATTTAATTACAAATAAAGTAAACTGACTTTACAACTTTATCGTATATCTGTTAATTTAAGAATAACACCATTAGAACATTGTTGTCCTTAATTGATCTACTGTGCTACCGTTTCCTGTGACATGTAGTGGAATTACTTGGTGTCTATTCTCGACTAATATTTTTTTGATATCATTGAAAATAAACCTACTAAAACAACTCAAAAGTTATCTTTGTAGACTTTCGTTCAGATTGTAAACATGTTGTTACAGTACCTGTTAGTTATGTATCGTGTAGTGATTGACTCGTTCTATAAAGATCACTCGCTCAATGATATTGATTAAAGTAATTAACCAATAATTTGTGGACAGTACCGCCAGTACCCCATCACAGCCTCTGATAACAGACACTACCTGAGATTCCAGCTGTGTGATTGTAGAGGTCTAGATGACGGTAACAACATGAACAAGGATATCGAAACTATTCTGGAGGGACATATGCCTGATAATTACACAGTAGGTATTCTCTTTATACGATACATATTTGTCTTAGTTAAATAATATTAATTCATAATATCGAGTTGAAATTGGTACTATTATTTCTAACTGTTGTAAATTCTAGTTCAACATATCCAATCCGATGACGGCTTCAACCCCTGGCTACAGGAAAGACCCCGAAATGAAAGATCAAATTCACTGTGTGGTATACGTTCTGGACGCAGAGAAATATTCTGCTGACTTTGAAATGTCCTTTGTTACCGATGATGTCAGAGATCAAATTAAGGATATTCAAGAAATGGTTGACCAAAAAGGTATGAATTAATATATCAAAACTTGATTTGTTAATAAAATGGGGTGAAATTGTCCATAAGAAAATGATGACACAATAATTGTTTTTTTTCTAATGTTTTTATGTTTCGTTAATGCTTATCAAGCAAAACTCGTTTTAGTAATGGATTTCATGTTTCTGAAGAAGTACGTGTGCAGTTACAATATGTGCTTGTTATACCATTTACTTAAATGTAGTCGGGGGATATAGAATTGAATATGTCAGTGCGTCCGTGTGTGCGTGCGTCCGTCCGTCCGTCCATCAGTCGTACAGAGCTTATAGTTGTGTTCTCAAGAACATCTAATCCCATTTATTTTATTTTCACACCGTAGTATGACAATACTGAGTGCTACTACTGATTAGATTTCGATGGCTATCAGTAAAAGTGAAAAGGATCAATGGTCACGGCCACATAAAGAAAAAATAATCTAGTGGTCATCGGTCAGTATAAAGGGTCAAAGATCACGGGCATAAACTATCTACGCTGTGGAAGGTGAGGTATATGTATGCGTGTCTCCGCTCACTTGGCTTTTATAATCAAACTACTTGATATAAATAAGGTGGTACATAACTTGCTGTATGCTAGTATTATAGTAAATACGAAAACGAGTTAACAGATATTGTGTTTTTATTTTAGGAATTCCACAACTGATCTTGCTCAACAAAGTGGACATAGCTTGTCCCTCGACCAAACAGGACATATCTAATGTTTATCGGAGTGAGACGATCCTCCAGAAGTGTATGGACGCAGGCAATTGTCTGGGCCTTCCTCCAATGGCAGTGCTGCCAATGAAGAACTACTATATGGAACCTTCTAATGTGGATGAGATCAGTATCCTCGCCTTGTATAATATCCGGCAGATGTTACGTGCTGCTGATACCTTCCTCCGCGTCAATCACCTCGACGAACTCCGATCAGATAAATACGAATCACAGTATAGTTAGAGATCGACTCGCATTTGGTAATATCACTGTAACTTTATTGGACACATAGCAATATTGTTGTAACTAAAGTTAAAACAATATCGTACACTATCGTTTAAAGAATCGACTCTGAAGTATCGAATATGTGTATTTTAACGAACTGTCATGCCATGCAGTGCGTTTGATTTAATAATGTACGCATAAATATAACTCACCGAGTCAAAGATGCATTAGTATACAGAATTTAGACACCACTGAAATAATTGTTTTGCGCTTTATTTAGTAATTGAATATTGTACGAGATTTAGTGTTTGATACATCTGTCCGCTCCCCTTTTCTATCGTAGGTATTAGGAAAATATACAGGAAAACCACATGTTAGAAATAAAGATAAGATCGTATTCGGGCCAGAGACGATGTTGTAATTTGACAATAAAGGCACCTGGGGTGACATGTAATTTGACAATAACAGGGCTCGGGAAGGCGATGTAATTTGACAATAACAGGGCTCTGGAAGGCGATGTAATTTGACAAAAACAGGGCCAGGAATGGCGATGTAATTTGACAAAAACAGGGCCAGGAATGGCGATGTAATTTGATAATAATTGGGCCAGGAAAGGCGATGTAATTTGACAATAACATGGCCAGGAACAGCTTTGTAATTTGACAATAACAGAGCCAGGAACAGCGATGTAATTTGACAATTATTGGGCAAGGAACGGCGTAATATTTTGTCAATAAAAATAGTGTTTTCATATTTAGGAATCAACAGTAGTTCATATTGGATTCGTCTTAGATCGTTTAACATTTTTATTTTTGTTTTGTTTTCACTTTGTATTGTTCTCCACTTTTTTTACATTGATATATATGTATTGCATACATACAATTGAAATAAGAGTAGAGGAGTACGTTTGACAATAGTATTGTTTTGATTTTTATTGCAAAACGATATTGTCGTCAATGAGAACAAACAAGATATATATGAATATACATATAATGAATTCTTTAAACAGGCAAAATCGCAATTTTAAATAAAGATCACCAATAGACTAAATTACGTTTTCAATAAATGCAAACATAATGAAATGACGTACAGTGTATTTATTTATTAGGTTTTAGATGACGACCGGGAAATGTCTTCTGTGTAGATAAAAGAACTTCCAGCCAATTTCTTAACACAGATTTCATTAAAGCCCGATGACTGTTATAAACATTTGGCTGACGTAAACCGACTCTAATCACCTTTTGTTCGGGTATTTCAACTGTTTATTGAGCTTGTTAAAAGAACAAGTTTAAATGTATATTGATTATCTGCAATTGTTATTTGTAATTTGGAGTCTATATAATAATAAGGTATTCATCATAAAACGTTGTAGCATACCCATCTTACTATTGTATGTACTTAGCATCATGTAACAATATATTTATATTGCCTTCATAGTTGTTTTCTTTTTATCTTCAAATGTTTAAATTGCCGTTTGAAAATGCCCGGACGGGACAGCTTTTTTTCTAACAACCGTTAGGTAGATATGGCGAATAAAGAAATAATTTTCAATTAAAGGCATTTATATCAATCGAACTTAAAAAAAAACCTAAAAAATAGGAAAGGACATGATCAAAGAACATTATTACAAGAAGACCAATCTACGAATATCATTTGAACTTTTGAATATTTTATCACATCAGACATTTTTAAAATAAATATTCAGAACCATTTTTTTTCCATTCTTGTCTCATATGTTCAAATGTACTATTCTCTTTCTAATAAAAAAACCCATTTCAAAAATATATATTTGCGTTAAGTTATTAATTACAGACAGTATAATGTGATGATTTTCTTCTCTAAAATACACAAATGCACACGTAACCACAAAAGTGAACTATGGTAAATCATACTATGGAATTGATTAAGCTCCAGGCAAAATATCATTACCCATGACACTTTGTTATTCAGAGGAACGCGGTAAAGGATTTTAATTCATTTGACCATTGTAACTTTGACGGTTAATATTAGGTATCCCTTGTTGTCTATGACTTTTGCTTATTGAGCAGCGTTGACACCCTATGACCTTGAATGTAAATGTTATTTATTGGAACACACTTAGAAGTCCTCCATCCAAGCATGAAGATGGTCAAATATCAGTTTCCAGGATATTTTGGTTGTTTAAAAGACTGTTAGAAATATTATATACATTTGACCTCTTTGTCCCTGAAGTTAGTCATGTTCAATAATTTCAACTGATTCGATTGTCCTTCATCCAAGCATGCTACGGTCCAAACATCATCACCATAGGCCTTTTGGTTATTTATAAGAAGTTGTTTTAAAGGTTTACGTTAAGTTTGACCCATGCGACAATAAAAGTGTGTCAAGGTCATTCATTTTAACAAACCTGGTAGTCCTTCATCATGGCATGCTAATCCCCGACTTAGGCGTGTTTGGTTATTGAGAAGATATCTTTGGAATGGAAAAGTGGACGATGGATGATGTACGACGGACGCTGGGGCATGAACTCATCAGTAATTCGTGCGAGATGAGCTTAATATGGCTCGGGCTTATCAGAGGCAGAAGTGAACCTGCTGGATAACCCCTTACCATCAGAAAGTTTACACTACGTCATCGTCACAATTAATCTAGTTCGCCGTAACGCTGACAGAAGGACGACCGATCATGGCCAAACAGCTTTCGGTGAAATATTTGTATAAAGTTGCATATTCATAGTGAATATGTTTTATTGGAATGCTGACTTATGAAAACAACTTTAAGAATACAATACGACATTCACAACACGCATATAGAATAAGCATGATATCGAACATCTAAATAAAATTCCATTCTTCGTATCAGATTATAAAAGTCCGTAATTCTGAGTAATACTCATCTTCTCCTCCATACGAGTGAGTTATGTAAACAGTCCCTTATTGATGACAATGTGTGTACCTTCCATACGAGTGAGTTATGTAAACAGTCCCTTATTGATGACAATGTGTGTACCCTCCATACGAGTGAGTTATGTAAACAGTCCCTTATTGATGACAATGTGTGTACCCTCCATACGAGTGAGTTATGTAAACAGTCTCTTATTGATGACAATGTGTGTACCCTTTTCCAGTACGCCATCAGAATATCTTTGAGATTTAAAAGGATAAGTAAAAAAAAGGCCAGTTAAATACTGAACCTATTTCATTGGTAACCTTATGACTCACTTAGATAACGAATTGTGATGGTTAATTGGAAGAAACACCCTTCACAGATTTACAATGGATAGAATAAAAATAGATACGTATGGTACTCTTTAAATTGTGTAATTTAACCAGGAGGATTTTTTTTTTATTAAATATGTAAATCATATCTAAACGAGGAAACGAATATTATTTTGCTAACATTGTAAGACTAATAGAAAGATGTAAAGAATTAATTCTGAAAATCATCTACACACAAGTCAGCTAGATAGATGATGAAAGAATTGTTGAAAAGAGTAAACAATGTTGTTTTATATATTTATTCATATATTGATTTAAAATCAAATCAGGGTAGTCGTTACCATATTTCATCAAATAACATCGTAAAATGGTTCTTCTAGATACTTTAGTACAAGGGAGGCAAACACAGGGAGCACTACGGTACCTATCTCTGTACCTCTTCTTATGGTTAATGACATTGTTGATGGCAAAAAGATATAACCTGCCAAGAATAAGTCCATAGTTTTAAGAATAAAGTCATTTTTAAGAACAACGGCTTTTGATCCAAGTGCATGAGGTATATTCGTATATAAAACAACAACGTCACAGGATACATGTTTAGCCCAATTTGTGCATTTTTTTGAAAAAGATCAAAATCTATCTTATGATATTCTTAAAAACAAGTTTTGATAAAATGTCAATAAAATGACCCTTATGCTGTATGCTACAACATGTATATGGCTCCCGACAACATATCTAAATTTCAAATCTGAAGAATTTTCTACTTAATTGCTTATACTTTCATTCTTGAGAATTTTAGTAAATCATGAAAAAGGCTGGTTAAATAGGGAATATTGTATCTAAAGATACGTGCTTTTCTACATAAAAACATTATCGTCCGATAGTAACGGGATACACCATTTTATTTTTGTCACGATACCTTACACCTAATGAAGTAATTAATGTACGTCAATAAGGATATCAGCCATCAACATAAATACAAAAGGTATAATAAACACTGAAATAGTATATACGTTAATACAGAACAAATGGCGTCGACCGTCAACATTATAAACCAAAAAAAGTCTAGATTGAAGCTAATCTAAGTAAAAAGACCTGGCTATCTAATAAACAGAACCCATTTATTCAGAAAATCATTATAACTATTCTCTCAACTTGGATGTACTTGTCATCTTTTGATATATCAGACTGTACGTTATCTCGGTTGCACGAAATATGTAAATTAATTGGTTGAGCAAGTTCTGCCATTCATGATAAAGACAATATTTTACGGACAACAAATGATGATGTCGGTCTACATAAGGAAGAATCGTTCACTCATTTTATGATTTTTGCATATGAAATAAATTCCTCGATGTCTTTTTGTTTTTTGTGTGTAGGACGTATCATTGATAATCTCACCGTCATGTAATGTTACATTGCATTCATTTTATTCTTAGATAAAAGTACATTAAAACATGGCGCACTTATGATAAATGTGAATATTTTATCATTATAGTACCTTTACAAATCTTAACTATTATTTTACAATGAATTTTTCAAAATTTCTTTAAAACAGTTGCTATTTTACCAATAGCAGTGATGTTGAGATCACATTCGTACAGTCCACTATTGCTGCTGAACGCCAGGTCAATGATACCACCAAGTTGTCGTATCTCACTTCCGGTCACACGAAGGCTGGTAGGTGTCAGTGTTGATAGGTTGTCCTTGTTGGTATGATGTAGCACGAGCACGTAAACGTCTCTACCACCTAAAAAGTTCATTACTTTAGTTAATACATTTTCACTAAATAGCTGTCTTTACAACAATCATGTGGACACGTAGACTAACCGTTTGCTGTGTAGTAGATTGATATATTATTGTATTGTTTGTTATTTATATTTCACATTCATGTGTATTGACATGTCAAAGATCGTACAAGTACCCTATATAAATACCACGAAATACCGTTACTGAAGTAGGCGTCTCTCTTGAAATACTTATATGAGGTGTCCGGCTGTTTATTGATCAACTTATGCAAATATGATATCTTCTTATAACTTTATTGTGTGATCAACCACATGTCATCTTTTCTGTGATTCATTCCAGTTTTAAATAGGTAGTCTTGTTGATAGCACTTTTATAATTGAGAATATTTGCTTTTGATAGATAACCTTCCGTCCCTTCCAATGCGTCCTGAATATTTGTGCCGACCCTCGACATATTCAGACATAAAACAAACAATGGCCCATTGGATACATCTGTTGGTGTCTCGCTGAGCACAATTGAAAAATCAAAGCTCTTTGAATCGAGTCTTTCTCCTAGCTGTCTCGTCAGCTCCTTGGTAACCATGTCCACCATTGTTTTCCCCAAACCACTTCGGCTAGTACGTAGTAACCTCATCACTAAAGCGACGAAATAAAAGGGATACAGAAAACAGTAATATACAGTTCCAACCTCATAACGTTGGTCGTATAAAAGTGTAATTCAGGAATTTTGACATGCATTAGCCGAGTCGTTCATATATGATATAAGAATTTTTAAATACAAACGTTTTGACCATGTTAACAATATCGTTTTACAAAGATTCAAATGGTTGGGTAGTTTCTGTGATCGCCGGGGATTAGATTACAGACACAATATGTCAAAATATTATGACTAAATGCGGAAACCGTGCGTACAATGCATACACTTCTTTCAAAATAAATACAATAATATATGATATATTACAAATATAGTTTTCGATGCGGATACATTAATTGTCAGATTTCCCTAGAGCATCTTATTAAGGGAGATTTACATATTGTAAGTGAGCAAATTACTACACGTGTGCTTTTGTTACATGTTCTTTACACAAGGCAAAACAAATTGTTGTCCACAACCTGGGATTGACAATGGTCAGGCTTCATATTTACTTTACAATAAGTATATATGGATGTAAAAGGAATGTAATATATGAGCTAAAACATACCCACAACTTTCTTTTTTAAGCGTCGACTTTCTTCCAACACTGTTTTTAAATTGTTTATTTCTTCATCCTTTTTTACTATGTAAAAATAAACAATGTGACAAGACATAGTATTTTAAATCGATGCAAGTTGCAACTTATTCACATTTTCAAAATAAAGCACACTATACATATATTGCATGCTTCATCTCATCAATCAAGTCAGTTTGGATCAACCGTGAGAACATAATCTGACATTACTGGTTTATCAAATACTTTGTAAAAATGACACACTTCTTAAATATGTATAATATGTTGAAGTGTGCAAATATGCATTACTTGTTAAGTGTCATAATCCAACGTCCTTAACTAAAGACAGAGGGAACTAACATGTGAAATTCGAGGAAAAATCCCCCCAGTTCTATCTGGATATACCGGTAACAAACTTAAAGTCTCAAAATTCAAGATTGCCGGCAGACTGCCATCTTATTTTTCAAATCAGTCTCAAAATTTAACATCCATTACTTGATACCATGGGGAACTTACATGTGGAATTGAGAAAGATTCCTGCAGTACCCTCTTTGAAACAGCGGTAACAATTTTAAACTCTCCGAATTCTAAATGGCTGCTTTGCTCTCCCGATCAGTCCTATATTTCAATATGCATAACTAGGGACCACTGGAAACCTTCAAGTAAAATTTGATAAAAACCCTTCCAATTCCCTCTGATAAATTGCGCTTACAAACTTTCACTCTCAATATTAAAGAAGGCTTCCCAGGTTCCCCGATTAGTCCCGTATTTTAAGATAAGCATCGAGTGATACATCCAGTACTTGATGCAAATAGCGCTAACGTTTTTTACAAGGGGCGATTTGAATAGTCCACCATATGATGATGTTAGGCTATAACCGCAAGCTGCAACAAAACACAGGACTAAGCAGTATTAAAATAAACGCTATGCTATTTTTTTAAGCTTTGACATACCTAGTTCTCCTGTCATCCTATCAATATCCGGCTGAAGACTCTCAACAGTAGATGATAGTTCCTTAATAGTCTTGTTGAGAGAACCTGTCTCGTCCTGTAGTGTTTGTATGTCCCTCTGTAGTTGTGATTGTTCTTTCAAATACTCCGCTTTTTCGTTTTGAACTTTGTCAAAATCCCCCTGTTTCTCCTCTTTGAACAGATGAAATGGTCAATGAACATGGTATGTTATTTGTACCAACTGTCACGCTAATTTGAAAAGACAAATGCGACAGTCGATGGATGTGAAACAATAATTGTATAATTATCACGCAAATTAGAAAATCCCATAATTGTAATGGTTTCTTTCATTTATAATGTTGAACTTAGTATAAATTAAGCCCGTAAGCTAATATAATGAAAATTTCAAAACTGAAACAACATTTATTATCGTTACGTAGGTACAAGTCAATATACAAGATAAGTCATACCTAGTTGTCCTGCCAGTCTGTCGATGTTCCGCTGTAGACCCTCCATGGCGGGAGTCATCTCCTCATTCGTTCTGCTGAGGAAACTTGCCTGGTCCTTAAATTTCTGTATATCTGTCTGTAGCTGGGATATGTTTATAACAAACATTTCGTTTTCCCTTTGAACTTTGTCAAGTTCAGTTTGCTTTTCCTCTTTGAAAGGCCAAATTTTAATTACATTATATCGTTTCAGTTTTAAGTGTATCAACAGTAATCTTAAGTATCAGTAACAGTATGTTTATACCCTCTTTTTAAAGTTTCTCTTTTAAAGTCTACTGATTAATTTTATATTGTGATATTACACCAAAAAGTAACACACAGAAAATATATCAATATATATTTATGACTATAAGAAGATCAAACAATGAAAGTTCAGACACAAATGCAGGTTATTTGACGAGAAGAGAACATGGTCTGTTCGATTTTATTACAGCCATCTTATTTTCCAAAAAAATAATTACAAACTTTATGTCATGAGTCTATGCTATTCATTTAAATTTAAAATGTTGACTACAAATCCACGACTAAACAATATTAAATGGCCTATATGTATTCTAAGCTTTATTGGATAATATAGTCCTACCTAGTTCTCCAGTCATCTTTTCAGTGTTCTGCTGTTTAATCTTTAATGAAGATAATAATTCTTCATTGGTCTTGTTGATAGAGCTTGTCTGATCCTGTAGTGTCTGTCTGTCTGTCTGTAGTTGTGCTACTTCTCTCATATACTCTTCGTTCTCCTGTTGGCTTTTGTCAAAATCACCCTGCTTCTTTTCTGTAAGCAGATGAACATTTTAGTGTAGGTAATATATTAATCGCTACATATGTCATGCTTATTCGTTCTATTTTTAACAACACTAGAAGCACCTGCTGCATAATGCATTGACAAACAGATATACTTTTGCAACAAAACCGTTACGCTGATAAAACGAACGAATCAAATCTGAAAAAAAACAAAATTTGTTGTTATGTAAGTTATTAAATCAATCTACTGGATTGTTCATATCGAGTTCCACTGTCAACCTATCGATGTCTCGCTGTAGACCCTCCACTGTGGATGATAACTCTTCACTAGTCCTGGTTAGGGAGCTTGTCTGGTCTTCTAGTGTTTGCCTCTCTGTCTGTAGTTGTGATACTTGTCTCACATACTCCTCTTTTTCCTTTTGAACTGTGTCGTAATCACTCTGATTTCTCTCTTTTAACACATGGAATCATCAATAAATGTATGAAATTTCTGTCACGCTTTAAATGGTTTTTGATGCTTTTGGTTATACATTGAAGAACGATTTATTAACAGATATACTTTTAAAATTAGTATCAACAATGCCGGTAACAACCTCTGCGTGCTTTCATCCTGGCTTACATGAGAGATAAATATAAGTTAGATAGCTGTTGGAAAATGAAGTGTAAAACGTCGGTACGCAGATAAATTACACACATCAAAACTAAAATAACTTGAAATTATCAGTCATACAAATAGCAGTTAATCTTAACAATTAATCATACCTAGTCCTCCTAACAGTATAACAGTTTCTTATTCGAATTACGCTTATAAGTTTCCGACAAGAATGCAGGTTGACGAGAAAAAAAGAACTGTCTGTTTGATTTTAAATCACCCATCTGAATCTAAAAGACAAATCATTAACAAACGTTAAAGCTAAGAGTGCAAGTTAAAAAGCTTTCAATTGAGATTTTTAAAAAAAACTTGTTTCCGAATATTGTTTCTAAGGAAGTGCCGACATCTTAGTTTGTCATTGCTTAATAACGAGTATGGGTCTCGCTGGGAATAAAAAGCGCATTACCCGTCAAACCGGTTATCATTTGTTCAACGTGTGCATAAGGTGACACTATATGCTATAGAAATAGAACACTTTCACAATTTTGAGGGGCAAACATGTTTTAACCGATCATTAATCTAAGAAAAGTGGAAATAATACTGAAATACGACCAAATAAAAGATCTGATGCACAATCCCTTCCCCCCTCCCCTAAAACCCCCACAATAACGTACCTGAAAGAGAAACGAACAAACAACTGACGCTGATGCCTACCTTTTAGATATCCAACTAGTAATAACATCCTGTATGAAAACAATACCAATTCCAATTATTTCCATTAGAACGGTTCAATTATCCAACTTCCCATTGTTGACTACACATCTGGGAGTGTCGCATTTTCCACGTGTTTTACTAGTAAAGCGTCTACACGACGAAGACTAATAATTTATAATAAAGTTTTCGTGTGTTGGTGCAATTCTATGCACGTGATAGACTGATGATATATATACGATTTATTGAAGTATTTCCAGTAATATACCTTTTATTTTGGATACACGATTTTCGAGAATGTGCTATACGTAACAACCAGCTTGGCAGTGTTTCAAAGTCTTCATTTGAGTGCGTTTGATTTTTGATATCGGTTGCCGATCAGGGTGCGCGGTACATTGAATGGCAACACAGACAGTTGTAGAATGATAACCGGTTCCACAGGTAATACGCTTTTTATACCCAAAGAGACCCATTCTTGTTAACAAACAAAGAAAACTAAAATGTCGGCACTTCCTTGGAAACGATAGTCGGAATAGATGGGGAAGATCTCAAAACCGGAAAAAATATATATTTTTAAAAATCTCAATTGGAAGCGTTTTAACTTGCACTGTCAGCTTTAAGTGATGAGTGGATGATTTTCAAACACAAAAATCAAAGTATAAACTACAACCAAGTCCATGGCTAAACAGTATTTACAGGTCTCAATATATTCTTAGCCTAATTATTAGATAGCATTGTCATACCGAGTTCTCCTTTCAACATATCGATTTTTTGCTGTAGACTCTACATGGTGGGTGATAACTCCTCATTTGTCCTGTTCGGGGAACCTGTATGTCTCTCCGTCTGTAGCTGTTGTGATATTTCTCGCACAGTCTCCTCTTTTTCCTTTTGAACCTTGTGTAATTCATCCTGCTTTTCCTCTTTTGACAGATGAAATAGTGAAAACATGAGATACATTAAAGTCAACTGATTTGAAATATTTTGGCCTGTAGATGGCATCTATGATGCAGAAGTATGCATTGGCAAATATACTTTATCAATTAGTACCAGTAATATCAATTTAGTCATTCCGAGTTCTGTCTATAGATCGATATCCTGCTGTAGACCGTCGATAGAAGAGAAGATGATAAATCCTCTTTTCTCATGTTTAGGAAGTTATATGTTTTGGTTACCTATTTCGTGAATTCACAGTCTAACGCTTTAAAGATGAAAAGAGAGACTTAACACTTTATATTAACTTATACAAAAGAAAAAATGAGGGTACGGATTTAGTCAATGAAACGCGATTATGCCACCTTATTTATAATTGTACCAACTGGCAACTGGTTGATAAGTGATGTACAGACTCGTTGTGGGCACGATCGATTTGATTTGTTTACTAATGGGTCTTTTAGAGGAATCGAGTGTTTTTTTTATAAAAGCCCCCATTTTGTTTCATTCCGGCGTCGTTGGAATTCGTATCGCACCTCTGAACAAACTTTTGAAATGATTATATATATAGATATTGTGTCTTTCGCTGCAGCCCTTGGTGAGAGGGTCAATGTTTGTCTGTGGAATGATAATAATAATAATAATCAATCAATGTTTTCATTTTTTATTTACATTAAAGGGACATCACGGTGAAGTGTATATTTTTTTTCAAATACTACGTACACATCTACCTGTCTGACCAACGTTTTGTTCAGGGATTTCCCTCTACTAGCGCATACGCATAGCACACCATTTCTTTCTAAACAAATTGACTGGCCGTTTGAAGTAAGCGAAAAAAATTCGTTGTACCGCATCAGCTACGAAGCGAAAAGTTGCCAAATGGTCAAAAGATAGCGCAAGGAGTACGTTACGGAATCATTATTACCTCGCTTGTATCTCTGTCTGAGTTTGAACACAAATGAACTTATTTTGTTATGTTAATGGGCATGTATCGGAGAGAGTTTACTTTGTGTTTCTATATATAGTAGTTTTTGCGAAAGGAATGGATAAGTGAGTGGTTAGTTTGATTTTGCTATGAGGCCCTCCAAGGGATAACTGTTGTGATGGCCACGGTGTATTCTGTTCTCTCCTCTGTCGGTACTCGGGGTCAAATGAGATATGTGCGCTGTAAGATTTACATAATTTATAATATTCCCGGGTTCAGTAAAATGGTATGATTTAATTATGTTGCTGAATTAAACGATTTTTTGTGTATTTACATGCTAGATTTAAATTTGTATTAATATTAATACCCGGCCTCCTCTGCCGTTACGACGCAATATATAAAAAAAACTCTCGTCGTCAAAAAGCTTCGTTATCGCAGCTAGATTTAGATATGTCAAAATGACGAGCCAGAATGAATGACTGAGGAAGGAGAACCTGCTTATAGTAAATAGGATCGCATAACAAATACTTTTTTATAAATCGTAATGTTTCAACAGTTCATGTTTTCACCTGATGTTTACTTAGAATCATGCAACAACTTTTTCTCTATAAATAATTAATTTTCGACTTCAGATAGGATCGGGAAAGGGAAAAAAACTTTTGTTTGCGTTGTAAAAATGACGCGTGCTGCCAATAACTACGGCTTCTGTTTCGGACAAAAATGATCTGATTAAAGAAAAGTTGTCTCAACATTAAAAGGGTCCATTTACAAGTATGCTTTAATCTATGCAAAGTATTGAAAACATATAATTATCAAGTATCTCAACACATTCTATATCTGACTTATATTCTACATGTACACGTAGTGGTTTTGCCATACAGTTTATTGTGTGTGATGACTAATATGACTTACTAAGTGTTAGCGTATGGAGACAGTGAAAGTGGGAAAAAGAGTATACATAAACATAATATGCATGGTCTATACAAAAATTGGCCAAAGACATTGAGTTGTACAATGTAATAAACAAATTCACAAACGTTTCTCTTTCTTATACTTGTCATTGCATATACACGCTTTATGAAAACATTTCAAAAGGGATATTCGTCTCGTGAATATTCCTTTTTACAGAAAGGTTTGTCTCATAGCTGAGAGAAGGTGTTTAGCCCCGTACCATCTGTATCGGTCACAGTAATAAATTTAACATATAATTATATATATCTACTCCATGTGTATGCCTATTATCATTGTTGATATTTAATTGTAAATGTATGATTGGAGAAGGCTGTGATAAGTTGTAAAATATTGTGCCCAACCCTTGTTCAATTTTATTGAGAAGGTAAGAAGTTGCACTTGCCTAACGGCCCCTCTCTGGGGGCCTCTTTGGAAACGTTTCATCTCGGTCAGACCACCTGTGTTTACTGCCTCGTCAGGTGACGTTATTGGCACTATTTCTAACAGGGCTTTCCCAATTCAATTCAAATGTTTGGAACGGACTATGAATATGGGGATAGCGAGGTAACATAAGTGGAAGGGCATACAACACATACATCCATTAAACAAAATATGGCTCTTCACGTGATGTCCCTTTAATAATAACAATTATTTAGAAAGATAATTTAGACACATGATTTATATATTTGTGTGACTTTAAAAGACTCAGGAGCAGCAGAATCTCAAGAGATTGAAAATTTATTACACTGCACCATACAGCTGTTTCGTCCTTCTAGGACTCATCGATAATGCTAGGGGACAAAAAAGGGAAATCCAAAATGGTCGAAAATACCCTTGAGATAGAGGGGGTGTTGCATAAAATCCCTTAATGATAAGAATTTCAAAAGATATGAGTAGTGCTGGTTAAGAAGTACAAGTACGATAGTGACATGGGAAAAACAAAAGGACATTTTTGTTTTTAATTATAGGATTACGATGAAGATTCTTTTCATACCATTGTTGTATTTTTCTCTGCCTTCAGAAAACATCTTTTTGGGTCTTTTAACATATGCCTTCTTCTCTTCTTCCCATTTATTTAGTTTCTTGTCTTTGTCCTTTAAAATGTGTCTTAAAGTATCAATTTCTCTTTCCAGGTCTTTTATCGTTTCCTGGTCTTCTAGTGGATGCGACACCCTTCCTTTTTTTCTACGCAACGAAAAGTCCTTACTAAATAAACCATACAGAGTTGATCTGCATGGTAAACACAACATGTGCCAGAGTTCTTGTTTCATGTCCTTATAAACGTCCTTGGGTTTAGGAAGTTTCTTTAAGCTTTGGACGTTTGCCTGAAGATATTGTATGTGTTTATTCATAGTCTCTGCTATGACCTAAAAGAAAATGAGATCATTGATAAAACGTTTTTAACCTTTGGCTGATGATATGTCCAATATATGATAATAAATTGCCAGAAATTAGTTTTGCCTCTTAAACACTAAACAAGTCATAACGATGCATTTATATTGAAAACATAAAATAATTATCTTACAGTGTAACTACATAATTGATTTAATTTCACGTATAACAAATATACTTTTATACCTTAAACGGTGCAACCTCTGAGCTGAGGCACTTATGCAACACAATGGCTAATGTTTGTTTGTGAATACAATTAACGATGTTCTCATAAATCATCTCTTAATCGGTCTAAGATTCATAAAAAATTGTACCTAACAAAAACAAAACTCACCGCAACTTCGTCTGTCGTCGGCAATGTTGAAGCCATCGCTATGATTCGTCACGTAGTCAATCGTCCGAGAGACTAAAAGATAACCGAGTAAGATTTTCTATTTATCACTGTACAATTATCTCAGTAAGTAAACGTATTTGTGTTTGTTATAGGCCCAATAACTTAAAGTGCAAAAGATATTTACAAACGCACCAGGATTTCAAATGGATGGTGCTATTTACGGAATATATTATAGATTGTGTATTTCGGGAAGATTGGAAATCTTTCTCCATATAGATAATTAAATATATACGACAACAGTACGTTGAAAGAAACAAATTATATGCAATGCTTGAGGCTATCATGTGGTACATAATTTCGTTCATATTTTACTTAAGTCAACAAGTATTAGTTTTCTTTTTCATTTGTATTTTGAAATTTACACGGATTTCTATTCAATTGTATTTAATTTCGTATTTTATGTTATCCGTAGTTGATAAGACTGCTGTTTTATCAAACAAATAAAATAATAACTTTGCTCTAGCACTGAAGTTAAAGAGTACGCGAACTGTAAAAGGACGAATTACATATCCTGTATGTCCATTAACGCTGTAGGCTATTGAGGACATACCAGCTAACAAAAACTGATATACCAAAACTCATTAAGGTAACATTTTGGTTAGCATACAAGTAAAACTTGGAGAAAGGGGTCAAATCTACTATTTTAGATAGAGTCAAATATTCAAGGTTCTTAAATAAATTCTTAGGAATGTTTCAATCTGACACATGATTGATACAATTATATAAATGTGTTAAACCACAAAACAATGAACTATTGGATACACAACAAAACAACATTGTACTGCTTAATTCACAACAGCAAAGAACTGCCCAATGAATACAAAGCAAATAACAAACATGTAGTAACACTGAATGCACACTCACAAAGCAATATACCACTTAATACACAATCAGATACATATACGAAACAATGTACCACTGAGTACACAGAAATAATGTACCAACGAATACACAACAACAACATATCGTACACCTGAATACACAAAAACAACATATCGTACATCTGAACACACGACAACAAAATATCGTACACCTGAATACACAACAACAAAATATCTTACACCTGAATACACAAAAACAACATATCGTACACCTGAATACACAACAACAAAATATCGTACATCTGAATACACAACAACAAAATATCGTACACCTGAATACACAACAACAACATATCGTACATCTGAATACACAACAACAACATATCGTACACCTGAATACACAACAACAACAAATCGTACACCTGAATACACAACAACAAAATATCGTGCATCTGAATAGACAACAACATATCGTACACCTGAATACACAACAACAACATATCGTACACCTGAATACACAACAACAAAAGAAAGCAACACTGAATACACAATAGTAAAACATTGTACTACTGAATAAACAACTAAATACTGTACCAATGAACACACAGCAGCTGAATTAACAATCACAAAACAAAGAATCACTGAATAAACAACAAGGAAACAATGTACTGTTAATACACAGCAATAATGTACCAATGAAAACCATAACACTAAAATATTGTACACCTGAATACAACGAAATAGTGTACACTTGAACATACAACAACGAAAAAACAACCACTGAATAAACAACAACAAAAACGATTCACAACTGAATACACAACATCAAAACATTGTACAATTGAATACACAACATCAAAACATTGTACAATTGAATACACAACATCAAAATAAGCGACATCAATCATCGAAAAGGTCAAGTAGATACTACTCTTGGATACGATTAATCCATGACCAAGTAGGGAATTGATCACATAACGTATTTATCAAGTAGTTTCTGTTTTCTAAAACAAGTTCTGGAAAATGAAATAGAGATTCCGCTGGGGCAAGTAAATTAAATACGAAATGAGAAACCATGGAATATGTGTCTGTAGCACGCGCACAATGCTGACAAAACACTGTATCGCTTTGCGATACATGCCTCTGTTCGAAGTCTCCCGTTGTCACAGGACATCCGGTATAATGCGATTCCCCAATGATGGTTCACCAAGTATGTAGAAAATGAAACATGATCACAGATTTAAAAACAAATTGCCCCCATCTAACCTTCGCGCTACTTAAAATTGCTTGGTAACGTTAGAAAGATGGACAATTTTTCTTTCACTTAATCTTGCAAACGATGCAAAGCAAGTGTCATTCGAACATTTAAATTTTTGACATACATACCACCACGTTGTGCATATGTCTTAACACAAGTGCTAACACATAACGTTATCAGTTATAGTTACTAATAAGGAATATTCATTATCAGAAAGAAAAAAATTGCTGTAAAACTGTATTGGCATGTGCTTATGTGAGTGCGCGCAGATAGAAAATGTAAGGAAGCCCGTAGACAGCTCATGGCGCGTGCCAGTAGTATATATCAACTCAGTTTTATATTTATGTAGAAATCGACAACGCAACTTAGAATAAAATATTTTGCAATAACAAATGTATTTTAGTGGAATAATTAATAACTAATTATGATTAGATTGAAAAATATGTTATTGATGAAATCCTGTATTTCAAAGCAGCGAGCGTATGGAAGAATGATTGTGTATTTAGTGTTTTATGTGTATATTTATATAGCTTAACTTGACGGGCAGACAATAAAGACTTCTTCTCACTGCCAGTTAAATATTACATCCTCAAGGTCTTCGGCAAGGCAGCATCAGGGTTGACCAAGTCTTATATAGAGTCACCAGGGTCAAGGTCAACTGTAGGAAGGATTTGCTATTTTACAGGCAGGTATGAAGGGTCAGTCGGTTGTATAGGTCATCTCGTCATTGGAAAATATTTGTACTTTCGTACAAGATATTTGAGCTTCGAAAGTATTTACTTTGCTCAGAAGCAAAGTCATTATTGCGTTTGGCGACTTCTCGTGTTCGTGGAACTCTATGTTGTGTTTGTTATAGCTATATACACGTGACATCGTCACTTGTGAGCTTGTGCTCCACACCTTATTGTGAAGGGATTTTGAATACTTACATGCATATACATATATATATGTGTGTGTGCTGTGTGTGTGTGTGTGTGTGTGTGTGTGTGTGTGTGTGTGAGAGAGAGAGAGAGAGAGATTAATTATAAGCATGGTACAGTATTTTCCTTTTTCTGGGTTTCCATGCTTTTGTTTCATGAATACTTAACTGAGCAACCCGTGATCATACAAAAAGACATTTACAGGGATTGACGAGCCATGAAAATAAAGATGGAAACTGATCAATTTAGGAAAGTATAACAATTTTATATGCAGTAAAAAGAAACATATCCACAACATACTTTTGCAGTGTGTTATAATTTAACATTCCAAGTGAAATAATATCACAGCAATACTGTACCTTTTGTTTTGTAACGTAAGCAATAAACACAAAACAGGAATATCACTGCAGTTCTATATTTAACACAGGAAAATAGTATTGATATCACACCAATGTGATTGTCCGCATAGTCGTATGCCACAACCCTTTTTTTTTTTTACCTTTTCTTTGAAAAATCTTTAGTGATAAAATAGAATATATATCTTAAAAAAGCAGAAAGAACATTTTTTATATATATAATTGATGAATTGTACTCAACATTTTTAGATTAATTTACACAGAAAACTAAATTATGTGTCCCGTTTGGATACACTGTAGCCTGAAAATCTGCAATTGCTAAAAGCAAATAAAAGAATTAGTATTGACATTGTGAGATAAAGAAAATATGTTCATATTTGTGCCTTAATAAAGAAGTGGATGGATTAAAATGTTTTTTTACAATTTTCCATCATTATATATGAAATATATATACAGTGTATAATATACAGTTGTGGAATCGCACAACGTTACACGATGTGTGGTGTGTGCAGTGCGTACGGGGTGTACACGATGAAAAACTGTGCGGTAATAGCACAGTTGTTCGAAAGGTATCGTGGTTTATATCTATTGAGGAATTGCGTGTTAAATAAATACGATTTCGTATTTAAACTAAAACCTTTCCGGATTTAAGTATGTTACCTTTTTTCAGACAGATTTACATGGCTTTTTATTTATCTAACAGTAATTTATATACCACGTCATCAACACGTCCGTACTGTACACGCAGATAAAGTGTGTACAAAGCAAAGTTATCTGTTACAACTATATGTAATTACCAGGTAAAGGTGCTTTTTGTATCATTAGTCAACCGTAAAGGAGGAGTTTAATAATCTCAACACAAAGCGTATCATACACAATTAACACAGGTGAGGTCCACTTGTATATTAATAAATGTCAAATAATGAATGAACTTTATTCAGCGATCAACTCCATACAATAAACTACGTATATGTTCATGTATTAGCGTTGTATTTCACAGTACAACCCTATTATTGACAGATTTGCAGTTATTGTAATAATTTATATTTACATTTGCATTTCCGAAAATGCAAATTATATTAACATTTTCATTTGCAAGCAAACAAGTCATAATGCGCTAGCGCGCATTATGTAGTTTGCTTGCAAAGCTGTGTCATTCAAATAGATCATAAATACCACACAAAAACAGTTCAATGCTTAAGTAACATCCATTGAAGAATTAGTAAAAGTGCAAAATATGCCAATCGGATATAAAATACGTATACTATGTACCTTATTTCTTCACGCCCTCCGAATTGTTTTCATTCCGTAACATCTATCATTCGATCTCACCATATTGCACATATGTGCGCGTTTTATCGCACAGCGGGGTGATAAATTGTTAAATCGCACTTTCGTGCGAAAGATGTGTGAACGGCGTGTGCACGATGTATGAACGATATGCACACGACGGTGTTTTGGGTGAGTTGTGCGATCACACAATTGTATATTGACACATGACAATTTCGACAAGCAGTTCATAGCTTAAACTTTAGATCAACATACACGAGTGATACATTGTCTTTCTTAGTACGAGAAATAACAAAAAATATTAAATGACGAAGGAAAGTAAATCAATGACCTGTCTGGGCCTCGAACTCACGACCCACGACACCAA